TGGGATCCTGGGGATACATATGGAAGAAACAGGGTGGCCCCATGTCAGATCACCCCACTATTTTCCTTTCCTTGTACTGATGGGACCCTGAGAGGGGTTGGTGGCAAAAATGCAAGAAGTTTAGAGAGTTAATATCTACATAGTGGGTGGCAAGTTATTTTATGTTCACATCATTTTTTTAAGGGCAAACCTGTTAACCACCTCTGATCGAGGGTTTAGGGAATGTTAGGTTTCATGTGTCTTACATATTGAAGTGTAAGATACACTTTCATTATGCAAGATGAAAATGGAATTTCCTGTGTGGTAACGTGGTAATCAGGGATGCAGCCACACCTGTGCTGGAAGCTAAACTCCTGGGGCACGCTGTGAGAGTCACTGCTGTCTGAATAAGTCCAAACTATGAAAAATGATCACTCAGGACTCACAGCAGTTTACAGACACCAGATACCATGATGTACTTATCAATCAATGTCTGTGCGCCAATATCTACAGAAAAATGAAAGCTGAAGAGAAGTCTGTTTACCAATACTCCTTGTCTTCTTCCCAAGGATGTACTTATGGAACACCCTTCCCCAACTTTAAAACGTTAGGGCTTTGATTTGGGATGTTTCTTGACATCGAAGGAGGAGAAAGAGAAACTAGGGCTCAAAACATTTTCTTCCTTTATGGAAGTGCCTTGGTTGCATTCAGGGTGCGAAATCCAAGGATGGATTGAATGAACTCTGACAGAGAGACAGAGACAGACAGATATAGAGAGACAGAGAGGATCATAGCACTTTCTGATATTGATGTAGAAAATTTCATAGATTGGGTTCCCTGAGAAATGAATTCAGAGACAGATTTGACAGCAGAAAGCTATCTGGGGAGGGTTCTCGGCAACAGCTCTGAAGGAACGAGGGCGGCATCGAATGACAGAAATTGAACTGGGATAAGGTTGCAACAAAGCCACCAGCCACCCCAGAGGAAGCTCTGGTGCTGGGGAGGTCTTTGTCTTATACATCGAACATTCGCTGGATGGGTGCTGGCCCTGGAAAGGAAACATAACCCTGGACAAAGCTGCTCCCTAGGTAGGGAAAGGCAGTTCCTGGGGAGGCATCCAGCCATGGTCCTTCCACAGGCAGCAGTGCTGGAAGCTGGGGACATAGTGCCTCCATCCCGCAGGAGTCCTGGGTGTCACATCATAGCATCCACTACAGGAAGGAACTCTTCTTTCCTATGGAAGGAGCTGAGTTAAGGTGACACTCTTGGCCTCTCTCCATGTTTTCTTTTACGCTTCATTGTTCTGGATTGGAAGGGAGAACTCAATTGATTGATGAGTTTGGAAGGAGAAGCCAGGCATGGGTAGCCCAGCTTTTTCATCTGTCTCTTGGAGGAGAACTGCCAGAATGAGGAATAAGGATGCTTTCCTCTCTTCTCTCCTCCTCCCTGCAGGACTGACTGCAGATAATAGCAAAATAGAAGAGTGAGCAGCCAACTGACTGTCTCGTGTTCGTGTGCACTTCCAGTGAGCCAAGTACAGGAGGAGGCTGGGACGGGGCAATGTGTAAGTGCCCACTGGAGAATTTACAGGCGAAGAGATCTCTATGGGCCCCAACACCCACAGCGCGTATCAGAACAGAGGAGAAGAGCAGGAACACAAGTGGAGGTTGAAAGCTGTTCCCATGTCAGTGTAGAAAAGAGGCTCATGACCTGAAAGGTGAGACTTGGCTTTCTTTTCACTGCCAGTGCCACCTCAGAGCTGTCACTCCTCCACTTTCAAGCAATATCACGGTGCCTCTGAGGCCAATGGTGTCCGCTATCCCACTCTCCACCTCACCTTATTTCTGATCATCCTCCATCTCACTGAAGGTTTCAGCCTCTCACCCACGGGCTTCCATTTCTTTCCAACTCTTATTTCTTGCCTGTGACATTTCCCCAGACCCCACTGCTAAGCCAGTGAGCACAGAAACATCAAGTGCTTCTTGAAAGGAAAGACAAAGAGAAGAAATGTGTATGGAGTATGGGCAGTGCTGATTGACACTTTTGCAAATTATCCCATCACATTTCTCTGTTATTATTAACAAACTTTATTCCATCACACCTAGCAGGAATCCCTTCAGAAGGCCCTCCAGGGCTCCTGTGCACCACAAAACCTCTCTGAGAGAAGAATACATCACAGACTTTGGCTCTAGAGAGCTGTAAGTCCAGCTAGAAGACAAACACCTAAGCAAGGTTACGATCATGTGTTAAGTGGTGTCATTTTCATGATTCTATCACATTATGGAGTGCATACTTAGGAACTATTTTACTCTGCTAGAGTGGTGGGTCATTTATGAAAGTCTTAACTGCGCAGGGGACAGTAGAGGTTGGCCTGGAAGAATGAAGAACAGAAAGGTCAAGGTCATCTGGAAAGAAGCAGAAAGAGTGAAGAAAGGCCTTGGAGGTATGGATGAATTCGCATTGTACTGTAATCACAGCTTTGATGTGAGACAGTGGTGGTGTCCCTGACAACCTCCCACAACGCCCCACCAATGCCACGACATTGCTTTGAACAGAGCAGGTGCTGAATGGACTTACTGCATTTAATTGAAGAAGTCTCCTTTATTCTTGTCAGGCCTGTTCTAGAAAATTCTGAACATACATTCAGTCCATAAAGAGTACATTTCACATGCTACCTGTGGAACTCAGTGAACAGGTGAAATGGTCCAAAGAATTGTCACTCCTCCTGGCCAAAGACCATTTCTACCGCAAACTCCATCAGCAAGGCTGAATCAGCATGATGTAAAATGGCTCTGTGGTTCACTGGCACCTTTAAAGAATTCAAAGGCTTTCAAATTCCTCTGTCCATGGGTGTTTACTTGCCTCCCTAACAACCATTCCCTCTCATTCCAACATACAACTGGTTTTTGTATGATGGTTAGGCTGAATCGCCATTGCTTCTCCAGGTCCTCTCTCCGACCTTCCCACCCTGCTGTGCATGCCTACATGGTCCTAGAGCAACTCCCCTCCTGCTCTCCCTCACTGGGAGCGCACAGCAGACAGGAGAGTGGGGGGAGATGCCAGGATCCCCACCTCTCTGGCTTCCCCTCTGCAGGGCCACCATAAGCTGGCTGTGTCTGCACTACAGGTCTCAGCTCCTGGCAGGTGGCCCTCTCCACGTGACCCCTCTGTCTCCAGGTCTTGGTGAACACTCCCTTCCATCACACATTCAGGCCCAGGGGTCTTAACGGCCCCTGCTTCTACTGGCCACAAGACCCTGCACTCTTCCTTTTGGTTTTCTATACTTGCTCACACATTTGTAAATAATCTCTGTTTTAAAATTCTCATCAGACTCCTCAATTCAGTTATGACTGATCCATCTTGCCTATGTTCTCAGTTCCAATCAGGAGCCTACGCCAAACAGCACATCATTCACTGGCTGCCCTGATGTGTGGGTGTATGACGTTTGGGTGCGTAATCAAAGCAAATGTCAATATCTTTGCCGAGAATGGTAAGACAAAGATGTTCGTTACGATCTGCTGGCCATGAAGCTGGAGAGACGCATACCTGGGAGCTACTGGCAGACATCTTGCAACCAGAAGGGCAGGCCTGAAAATAGAATCAGCACCTGAGAAGTTAAGTCAAGAGTTCTATGTGATGTGATAGGCAGAATGATGGCCCTGAAAATGTCCATGTCCCCAAACTCCAAAACCTGTGACTGTGTTAGGTTATGAGGCAAAGGGGAATGAAGCTGACCTTGAGATGGGGAGAAGCGTCTTATCTGCGTAGGCCCAATGTGCTCACATGTGTCCTTTATAAGTGGAATGGGAGACAGACAAGAGGAAACCAGAAGATGGTCACATGAGAATGACTCAGCCTACTGTGCTGGCTCTGAAGACAGAGGAATGGGGGGCCATGAGCCAGGACACAGAGAAAGCCTTTAGAAGCCAGAAAAGGCAAGAAAATCAAATTCTCTCCTAGATCCTACAGAAAGTACCCACCCTTGCCAACTGCTTAAGTCTAGCCCAGTAAGACCTATCTCTGACTTCTGACCTCCAAAACCATAAAAGAATAACTTTGGACTGTTTTAAACCACTGAAGTTTGTTGTAAATTTGTTACGGCAGAAATAGTAAACTAATAAAAATAAAGACATTTAAGAAACGAAGTCCAGTTTGCTGTCACTAAACTACAAGAATCTTAATTGATATACTGCTAAAAATTTATTTACAGATAACAAACAAACTACCTACCATAGGTCTGTTCTCCCACTGACCTACTTTGATGTACTTTCAGAGATTCTGGTTAAACAAGGGTTTACTGAATGATGTAGGAGGTAAGTGAGACAATGGTGCCATACTGGGGGAACGGCAGACACACTGAGAAGGTGAGGAACTCAACGTGTAGAAAGAGAAAGAAGGGGTGGTATATTCAAAGGCAAAGAGGAGACAGATAGCAAGAAGGTGGGAGAGAAAGGATATGTGACAGGTGATAACACGTCATCCTGGATGACAGGAGAGCTCTGTAAGCACTGTAGAATATTTTAATGATCATTATACTTTTTAGCAATTCCTTATTCCTTAGGAATGTCATCACATTTTTAAGAATGCCATAACTCTACCTCACTAATGAGAACTTTGATGATCAGAGAGGTTAGGCAATTTGTCCAGTAATACAGGCAGTCAGTGAATGACAGCCAGTGAGACAGGAGAGAAGGGGGCAGGGCACGGCCATGCAAGGAATGACAGCAATTTAACACCAAAATGGTGGAAGATTCAACTCCCAGTTGGCCTTGAGGATTAAGTTGGTGGGAGATTTGACTTCTAGTAGACCTTGAGCTTCATTATATGCTCATTGTAACAGTGTGATAAATGACATGCCCACAGGTGCCGTAACAGTCCCAAGGCTAACTGCAAAGAGCTAAAGAAAGGGCAGTGTCCCAATTCCTGGAAATCCCAGCCCCTTCCCCAGGGTAGTTGGAATGGTCCCACTTGTAGGCGTGTGAAGATACTGAGCCCATAAAAACTGGCACCACCACACCTAGGAGCCCTTTTTCACTCCCACCCCTTTGGAGACGGCCCGCACTCTGTCTATGGAGTGTGTACCTGCTTTTACTTTAACCTGAGCACCCGGTTCCAGCACCTCTTTCCTTGCCTTTCTCTTGTCTTATACTCTGTGCAGTATGTATCCCTCTAAATAAATCTACCTTTACTCAACTGTGGCTTGCATTTAAATTCTTTCCTGCATGAAGCCAAGGACCCACACCTGGTGGAGTACATCCCAGGGGCTCAATTGAGACCTGGGACACAACCCTCCTCATGCCCCATATCTGTGTTCCTGCATCACTAGGACTAAGCTTAGCCTTTCTGACCCCAAAGTCCGTAGATGTAATCACTTGGTAATACCGTCAGTGCAGATACAAGCTCCAAAGCCTCAAGCTTCCAACCATCAGATTCTCAAATATGCACACAGAGCTCAATAATAAATGTATATCCTTCCATATTCTGCTCACTAGGTTTATGATTAAGGAGGCATAACATGTGCTTTAGGGAAAAGAATCTTCGGCCAGAAGCCTGACCTCTTCCCTTCACTACCCCAAAAGCTTCTCATTTATGGCTGTGTGGTCTTGAGCAAGTCCTTGGGTTGCTTGACCTCTCTGGGTTTCCATCTGTTATCTTTCCAGGGGAATAGACCTGCTGATTGTAAATTTCTTTCAAGTTGTTATATCCTTTGTGTTTTTGATATAGCAAAGCTGAGGGATATAAACGCTGAGCTGACGTGTTTACATCTCACAGAGTAGGCAGTAGGGGGCCAGCTCTTGAACAGGGCCGTGATAAACTCTCTGAAAAGAATTATTCAGCAGTTGAGTATAAACATGTAGATGCAAGAGGTGGGGAGATTAGAAAGAAAGTTATAGAATTCCACTCATATCTTCTTGATAGGCCAGAATTCTTGGAGCTAATAACTAGGTGCAAAGAATGCTTTCCATTGTAGTACCTTCTGTATACCTGGAGGCTCTCCCCACCTCAGCAACTCAGACCACAAAGGCTCTGACAGGTGCTAAGGTGCTCTGTGTCTCTGGGAAACGTTTCATGTTGAAACTGGCCTCTAGCCACTGGGTGAGAAAGAGCAGGCTGGCACGGGCACTACCTATTGGCAGCCAGGACAAGCTCTCAGGCTGGGATCGTGGGCCACAGGCTGTGTGGAGAAGGAAGGAAAGGGAGAGATACAGAGGTAGATCCCTGGGAGCTGTGAACAAAGATGCCGAGGCAGGGAGCCAGGTCTATCGCAGCTACCTGGCAGGGAACGGCGGGGAGACGGGGACACAAAATGGCGGGCACTTTCCCAGCTACAGCTGCTGGCCAAACTCTTCTTCTGTTTCACAGAGACAACCCTGAGAACAGCCCAGGGAAATAAAAAGCCTGAACAAAGAGGCTGGGTTTTGGCTATCTGTATTACTCTGCCTTTGTCTTCACTACAATTAGTTCTTCACGGCCTCTTCGGGCCTCTCACTAAATGGACTTGCATATGAACACACAAAACCAAGGCTCTGGGCCAATACATTTGAAGCATTTGATACCCCACCACCACTGTCTGTTAACTAAAGCGCACATCTGTGACAAGGTGATTTGAAACATTTGTAGAAGTTGTGACCAGGAAAAAATAAAGAGTGAAAGAATAGAAGGAAAATTTGAATTCATATTCAAGTCAACAAGTACAACGAGATAAAAAGCTATTTCAATCATCAAGGAGTGAGGTTGGGGCAAGAGCCACAAGGGGTCAGTTACTGGCTGTTGTTATTCAAGGCTATTATTATTCAAGAACTTCCAGGTTGACCAGCTGATGGTATGTTGGATGAGCAGCCCTTGTAAGTTCCAAAGGCCAGGGAGCACACCAGCCATTCCCCACGTCAGTGGAATCTCTGAGGAAAATATTCAACATGTATTTACCAGATCCTTATCCAGAGTATGGCCCTGTGATGGGAGATGTGGGGCAATAATAATAGGAAAAAAATGACTTTCCTAGCACTCGAGAGACCTACAGCTGTTAGAGACAATGTTTGCTTTCCCTAGGGAACTCACGTGCTTTTTCTTTATGGGCATCTATAGGAGTCATGCAATTATTTACTTTTCTTTGACCACAGGGACATTTGAATTAACCTTTGATAAATATATCAGATCCTGTGGCCTGCAAACTTCCTTTTTAATTCTTCCTCTTCACCCTTAGATCTTGATTCCCTATTCTACCCACGATTTTCTTGCATCTAATGTCCATCTGGAGTCATAAGAATACAAAAATAATTATGAATAAAGAGGGCTGAGACATGTTCTTAAAGATGGAAAGTTTTAAGTGCCATAATAGAAGTTTGTATCAGGGAAGGAGTAGGGTTTAGATAAAGAAGATACCAGTGTCATGCGGTTAGAATCTGAGATGTCTTATAGAGGAGATGATCTCTAGAATAAGGTTCAGGAACCTAGAGAAGCAATGTAAATAAAGTAAGTGGACCATGTAGAGATGGGTGAATGGTCATGGATATTCTAAAAGTGGTGGTCACTCTATAGCTCTAGCCTTCAAGGTAAAAATTGCCTATGGATAGAATTATATTTGAAAACCCCTTCAATCACCCATAAGTTAGAGAAACAGTACTTGAACCCCAAAAGAATAATGCTTACCAGCACATATGTGTCATGACACCAAGTTAATTGGTACTTACTATATCACAGCCTTTTTCCAGTTGTGTGTTAGATGACAGAGCTTCAAAGATTCAAAGAAACAATTATTTAGTCATTTCTCTTGAGAAAGAAGTTGGACCCCTGTGAGTTAAAGTGCATTTTATGCTATTTTCTTGAATATTCCATGACCAAAGTACAACTATGGTAGAGCATGTCATGCAGAAAGACAACGTGGGCCACATGGAATTAGTGAAAGTCATCTGCATTCAGCAGTTGACAATGAAGACTTTAGAATTTTCATCAAGACTGATACGGTGGCAAGCCATAACTGTATCAAGCCATCATCAGTCAACTTCTAATAAAAACTGTCCAAAAATAGAAGAATGAAGAAAGTAAGAAAAGCAAGAGGAGCCCCAAAAGGATATTGTTGGCCTGCAGCAATACTCCAGGTAAAACTGAACCAACAATTGGGACATAGGAAACAAATTCCATTTTGGCAGCACGGTCAGGGCCTGAAACGTTGCTTGTATATATCAGATTAGCAGTAAACCTTGGTCTTCAGTTTCTTCTGCACGTCACTCTCCAAAGTTTCAGATCTGACTGTTTCACACCAAGGCTTTTGGGAAACAGAATCTTCTTGATGGCATTTCAGGTCTAACATTTTACTCTAATGTGCACTGTACAATTCAGCCAATTGTTTGACACAAGCCAGGTATAAGGATCAGCAAACCTGGCTCAGCTCTGAAGCTACTGAAAGAATCCAGGTTTACAGATTTTTGTTTGATCTAAAATAAACTGATTAAATTTCAAGGGTTTCAATGAACTCCACAATGAGGCAATCCGATAAAACCACCTTAAGAAAGAAAAGCAAGAGAGGAATCAGAGTTCTCTAGTGATAACTGAAGTCATTTTGTGCCAGAAAGAATGATCCAGTGAAACTGTTAGAATCTAATCAGGACCAACATTTGCATGTTAAAGGGCTCACATCTACAGCTCCCTTCTGTAAAATTAACATTCTCTGGCTTTGAAAGAGGGTATTGGGTCTCAAACAGAATAATAATAAAGTAACTTTTTTTTTTCTGCCCTACCTCACCCCCAACTCTCACCCCTATAAGGGATGTTTTCATAAACAGAGTCCTGTGCAGTGACAAGGAAAAGTAGGAAGGTTGTGGAAAAACATTCCATGGGAGGAGCAATTTGCCTGGACCTGGTCACCTAGTTTTTGGCTTCTCTTCATCCACTGCAATTGTGTGGTCTGTTTTCAGAAAATGGAGAAGCAAAAAAACACTCCCTAGAGTTAGAGTTCTGGTGTTGGCGAGCTTGAGTCAGATTTCTTCCGAACAAGAGAAGGCACCCTGTTGTCGCATGTGTTATTACGAAGGATTATTACCAAGTGAATAAAGACCAGACCGGGCCATCCGGGAACAGGACTCCGCGGTGCTGCTGGGGCGGGGCCGGGCTGCGTAGGGGCGATGCTTCTGTGCGCTGCCGAGGAAACATCCGCGGCGTTGACTGGCGGTCGTATCCCTCAGGAACAGGCTGACCTCACAAGTAATGTATTCATCTTAAGAAGAAGACGTTTGGTAAAGTTTCAGGCTTCACTTTACGAGGCGAAGCTCTAAGGGGAGCAGGAATAACATACAGAATTTTGAAGAGGACAGGCAAGACTCCAAAAGAACAAGGTTTTGTTGTGGTTTGGCTGCCTTTCTGAGATGATCATTCCCACTTCCCCACTTCCCTTCTGAGCTAAGCCACTTAAAAGGGTCACAAAACTCCTTGGTGACAGAGAGGGAAGGGAGAAATAGAAATATTTCAGGAAAGACTGACAGACCAGATGTGGTCAGCATCTCATGGATTTTGATTATGTGGGTGCCTCTCATCCCTGCCCTCGAGTCAGGTCATCGCTTCTTGAGAGAAGACAGGAAAGACTGGGAGTGAAACACAGAAAGTGTGGTCCTGAGGAGCAAACCTGATGTCTTGGGCCTTGCAGTAAGTGTTTCATAAAATCTTCTCGGACAAAATTCGAAAGGAAAACAATATTGTTAAAAATTAGATTGATGTAATAGTCAAAAGTAATATTGTAACTTGAAATTTTTAAATCAGAGTACAATTTTAGAGGTCTTTACCCAACTGAAAATAAAGGCAATCTACTGGAGATAAAACCCATAATTAAAAATGACTTAAAATTTGGGGGAAAAAAGTGTTCAGTTTTTTAAAAAAGCCAATTACATTGCCATATTCTGGCTCCAGTCTCTTTTTTGTCAGAAACAAATGAGAATTATTAATATATATTAAAGTAATTTCCAAAGTCTGAATTACTCCTCATGTGAAATAGTTGTTTTAATCATTTTTGGTCAGGTTGACCAGTCTAAATTTAGTTTCTTGTTATCAGTCTCATAAAACATGTCTGGAAGTGCTTGTTCCAACCTTCGACAATTCCGTGACATTTGCTGGGCAGTGACTATATTCCAGCTATTGTTCTCAGTCCTGGGAATACAGGGAATGCAGCAATGAATAAATGACAAGGCTTCTGCTCTTGCATTAGGTGTGTCGAAGAGGAGAGAGAACTAAACAAGAAAACCAACATAGATCTGTTGGGCTAAAAGAGTGTTAGGAGTTGTAAGAACACCAAACAGGGTGCTATAAGAAGGGATGAGTGAAATGAACTACATTGGCTTAGTTATTCAGGGAAAGCCTCTCTGACAAGGTATCAATGAGGTGAGACTTGAATGTTAAAAAGGAGTCA